TATATATATATGGTTATATTAAAAATATACATAGCCATATAAAATATTGCTATTTATATATTTATATAGATTTAGATATTTATTTTATATAAATATAAATATATATTTTTATTTAGCAATACTCATTTGTATATAAAAATATATAATTTTTATATTAAAATTAAACATGTAATATTAGAAATATTGGTGAGTTATAAAATTATAGCTATTAGATATTTTATGTAAAATTTATTGCATGTATTTTAATATATATAAAAAACTGTATTTGGGTTGGAATAACCAAACTCTCTTCTTTGTCCCCCTCCCTCCTTTCCTTCAGGCCTTCTCAGTATTTTTTGTGTGTGTAGCATTCACCTCCAACATCATCTGTCTGCTCTTCATCCCAATCCAGTGGCTGTTCTTTGCTGCCAGCACCTATGTGTGGGTACAGTATGTGTGGCACACAGGTGGGCATTATTCTTTATTTACAGCTTCCTGACTCATTTATAATGTCTGTATTTCCAATTCTTCCTTTATTGACAATTTCCAGGGCTCCATGTGTGTCTCACATCTTTTAGGAGCAAATCCCCTCTGCTGTTACCTCACTTAATGCAGTTTTTTTAGAGTTAAAAATTTTGGTTTGTTTTTTTTTTTTGCTTTGCATCTCCAGTAAGCAGGAACTGGAGGGGAATAAACAGGAATTCCAGAGCAGTTAAAAGAAAATGAAATTCCTGACTTTAAAACTCTACTGCAGTGATTGAACAATTACAGAGCACACAGGACAAGTTTGTGACAGTGTTCTGTTCTTCCACACTCAGTTGGTGTGCTGCTAATTTAGTTAATAATGTTCAAATATCAGATATTGCAGTGATCAGAGCTGAATTCTGTGTTAGCAAAGCTGGATCCAGTTGCTGAGCTGGTGGTGCCAGAGGCTGCCCTGACACTTTGGGATTCCATGGAGAATTTTTATCCCCCTCTGCTGCCCTTTTCTCCCTGAGTTTGTTCTCACAAATCCCTGGGTTTGGATGAGGAAATGGAGCTGGGAATCAAATTTTAGGAATCAAATTTAATATAAATTTTTTTTTTAGGGGTAACTTTTCACTCCCCAGATTGTTGGGATTTGAGGTTTCTGGAAAATTTTGTGTCAGCCCTGATGCCAGGGGTGTGATGGGAACTTGCTTTTTTTTTTGTGAAAATCTTTAAGGTTTGTTTCTTCAGACTCCTGAAATGTTGTAAAAATAACTTTCAAATTTTTGCTGCCTGTCCTGTGTGCCTGAGTGCCTCTGTTTCCCTTCTCTCCACAGAAAGAGGTGTGTGCTTACCAACAGTATCACTGTGGATACTTTTTGTTTATATTGAAGCAGCCATTAGATTTAAAGATTTAAAAAACTTCCACGTGGACCTTTGTCGTCCATTTGCAGCACACTGGTGAGTGCTTCTCTGTCCTTTCCTTATTAACCTTTATTTCACCAGGAAAATGAATAATCAGGCCTTTTTTATTAACCTTTATTTCACCACGAAAATGAATAATCAGGCCTTTTTTATTAACCTTTATTTCACCAGGAAAATGAATAATCAGGCCTTTTTTATTAACCTTTATTTCACCAGGAAAATGAATAATCAGGCCTTTTTTATTAACCTTTATTTCACCAGGAAAATGAATAATCAGGCCTTTTTATTTGGGTTCAGGGCTTGGCTGTTCAGTTTTCCCCTCCCAATTCTGCCATGAAATATTCCATGAGAAATGTGTGTAAACAAGGACCCAGTGCCACCTTTCTGTGCTGGGAGGAATTTGCAGTGTGGATATTCCAAGCATTTCTTGAAACAGCAAAAACCACTTTAGAAATCAGTTTCTGTGGAGCATATTCATATATATATATATGAATATGTGTAGATGAATAATGTATATATTTGATTAATATTGCTTTTTTTTTCTTCCTCAGCATTGGCTACCCTGTTGTGACTTTGGGCTTTGGCTTTAAAAGTTACGTCAGCTACAAGATGCGGCTGAGGAAGCAGAAGGAGGTGCAGAAGGAGAATGAGTTCTACATGCAGCTCCTGCAGCAGGCTCTGCCCCCAGAGCAGCAGATGCTGCAAAGGCAAGAGAGGGAGGCAGAGGAAGGCAAGTTATCCCTTCTTGTGTGCTCTGTTCTGTGCTGCTCCGAGGGAAAACAAACCCCAGACGTGCAGGGGAGGAGCTGTGGGGGCGTTTGAGGGTCCCAGGATGGAGGGGAGAGATGAGAATCTTGGCTCCATCTTTCAGAAAGCTGATTTATTATTTTATGATATATGTTATATTGAAAGAAAATGATATATTGGCACTCTACTAAAAGATGAGAAGAAAGGAATGATGATAAAATCTTGTGACTGCTGACAGCCTCGACACAGGTGGCTGTCATTGGTCACCGAGTAAAAACAATTTCATGTGCTGGGTAAACAGTTCTCCAGATCACATTCCAAAGCAGCAAAACATTGGAGAAGCTGAAGCTTCTCAGCTTCTCAGGAGAAGCTCATATTTCATATTTCTCATAAAATTTGTCTGTGACAAGCTCTGTTGGGTGGGAGGGTGGTGAGCCCAGAGGGGCAGAAATGGAATCACTTTGGAGGGGTTGATGTGACAGGAAAAGGGAATTCTGGCCCCTCTGCTCAGCTCCTCATTAGCACTGCATCAGTCAGTGTTGTGGGAAGCTCTAGTGTTTATTCTTAAATCCTCTTTCCTGCCTGGAATGAGGCAAAAAGCCTTAAAATTGGGGATTTGGATTCTCTTTTCTAGAGAGCCTCCAATCCTGATTGTTTCCTGCAGGAATGAGGGATGTGTCCATAATGATTTTTTCTTTCTGTGGCACGATATTGATGGATTTAATGAACTAAGTTGGTTTTTTTTCACTTTGGTGTTGCAGCAGCCAAAGGATTATCTGATATGGATTCCTCAATACTCCTGCAGCACAATGGAGGCATTCCAGCCAACAAAAAAATCTCTGCAACGTTGCCAGAGCTGGAATATCGAGAAAAAGGGAAAGAAAAGGACAAGGATGCAAAGAAACACAACCTTGGAATAAACAACAACATTTTGCAACCTGTAGACTCTAAAATACAAGAAATTGAATATATGGAAAACCATATCAATAGTAAAAGATTAAATAATGATCTTGTAGGAAGTACAGAAAACCTCTTGAAAGAGGACTCATGCACTGCCTCGTCCAAAAATTACAAAAATGTCAGTGGGGTTGTGAACTCCTCACCCCGCAGCCACAGTGCAACCAACGGGAGCATCCCCTCCTCATCCTCCAAAAATGAGAAAAAACAGAAATGTGCCAGCAAGAGCCCGAGCACACATAAGGACTTAATGGAAAACTGTATTCCTAATAACCAGCTAAGCAAACCAGATGCACTGGTAAGGTAAGTTGGGCCTGAGCCTTGTCTCATCCTCCCTTGCTCCATCAGGACTCGGGGGTTTTGTTTGCTGTTTATCTGGAAAATGTCGTTTGTGGTGATGTGGAATGGTGCAGGGGTGGGACAGGATATCCAGAGATGTGTGCAGCTGTGTTCTGGGCTCTGATGCATTCTGGAGCAGGTTGCTCCATGTCTGGCTCAGGATCTGCTGCTCCCCTGGCTCACAGCTCTGGTGTGAGGCCCCAGGAATACCCTGGTGGAGGGCAGGAGGAAAACCTGAGGAAATCAGCTCATGTGTCCCTGCCAGCTCCTGCCCTGCCTCTCAGGGAGCTCACTGGCCTTTCCTGCTGCCTGAACAGGTGGTTTGGTTTTGTTTTTCCTTTGGAGTGTTTGGCTTTTGCTTTAATCTCCAACTCCAAGTGAGTGCAGAGAGCCAGGGCTGCTGTGGAGCTGAGCTCAGCTCTGCCCTCAGCCCTGGGACCTGGCAGCATGGAAAATCCCAGCTTTGCCCTGCTCCTGCAGGTTCAGAGGGAGCTGTGGGGTCTGAGGTGCTGCCAGGAGAAGCAGCAGTGAGGAAGGGGCTGTGGCTGTGCTTGGAGACACGTCTGGAACAAAACCTGTCCCACAGTTGTGCCCTTCTCCAGCATTTCCCACCTGCTCATGGCTCTTTTTCCTTCTTCCACCAGTGCTGGCCAGCTTAATGGGCAGCTCAGGCTTGTTTTCCCTGCAGGTACCTTTGGTAATTGGGCTTTTATCTCAGAGGATTTGTGCTGTGGGAACACAGTTACTTCATTGGAAATATTATTTTTGCTTCTGATAATCACTCTACTCTGATTGACATACCCCTGCCAATTAAACACCTGGACTAATTGATAGCTAATGTCTGTGGAGAACCTGTGTGGGGTTCAGAAAGTAACCAGTTAGTGAGATGTGTGACAGGATCCTGCCAATTAAACACCTGGACTAATTGATAACTAATGTCTGTGTAG